CTCTGCTAATTAATCCATGTCATTTGTGTGTGTGTGTGTGTGTGTGTGAGAGAAAGTAAATGCAATAGAAACCAAGCAGAAACTCTAGAGAAAATAAAGCAGTTTATTTCAAAACAACAAAATCCATGAAAGGGCTTGTGTTACTTCAGTTGATGACTATCAAATCAAACATATATATATGTGTGTGTGTTGAGAGAGAGAGAGAGAGAGAGAGAGAGAGAGAGAGAGAGAGAGAGAGAGAGAGAGAGAGAGAGAGAGAGAGAGAGAGAGAGAGAGATGAAAGTGTGTAGATATATACCAGAGAGGAGGGGTGCAGTACTCGGTGAGTTTGCCCTTGGTAGAGAAGACAATAAGGCCAATTTGAGCATCGCAAAGAACGGAAAGCTCGTGTGTCTTCTTCATCAAACCGGATCTACGTTTCGAAAACGTAACTTGTCTGCTCGTGTTGTTCTCTATCCTCTTCACTTCTATCTTCCCTCTTCCCATTTTCTTTTTCTTCTAATTAACTAATCACCAAAAACAAATAAACAACAAGAACAAAATTAAACCACTTCTCTGTGGAGCTGAATTTTCTGGTTTAGGGTTATAAAAACCAAAAAAATGATTAAATAAATAAAAAAAAAACTAAAAAAAGTAAGCCAGTATATATATTAGAATGATGACTAGCATATATACAGACAACATATATATCATAACATATATAGCTCGGTCGAAAAACAAATAAACAACGTATTTTTTTTTTTTTTTTTTATCTTAATGGAGGTTCGAGGTGTTGAAGAACACTATGATTGGAATTGGGAAAGAATGCAGATTTATGGTAAATAGAAGCTAAGTAATAAACTTACTGCAATCTGTAATGAAAAAAAGAATTCTTAATCTGGAGAGTAAAATGAATGATTTTTTGGTATGAGTAAAAATAGAGAGAGAGAGAGAGAGAGAGAGAGAGAGAGAGAGAGAGAGACTTAGTTTAGTGTTTACCTAGTTCTTCTGTTGCAGTGTTGTTGGTATTTAGGGTTTGGGGGTGGAAGAAGCGTGTCTTCTTATATAATTTAGTGGATTCCATCTACTATGTTATATGCATGTAGACAAAAAGCTTTTCATTTTCCCTTTTAGGCTCATCTCTCTCTCTCTCTATCTCTCTCTCTCTCTCTCTCTCTCTCTCTCCAATTATGTATGATGGTTGGCATGCATGTATTTCAGCTGCTACAAACCACATGACAGTATATATGTACAAAATAAATTGATTTAATTTCTAAAATGTTCGAAAAAGCATTCGACATGAAATGCATGCATCCAGAAACCTTAATTAAGTTAATCGAAAAATAACCCCCTAATTAACGAGCATCAAGAAAACGTATGCGCTAATAAAATGCACCGCACCTTAGATTATTCGATCATGCCCTAATTTAATCAATAATACGATCGTATAAATTAATCGTCTTAGTACAATCGAAACGACTTGCGTATATATATATATA